CCCTAAGGCGGTTTTTGTGTCTGAGGCACAGTTTGAGTGTGGGCTTTGGGGACAGCGCTCTGAAGTTTCTCATTGGCACACGCAGTCCCTTGATCGACCTTCCCATGTTGTCACTGTTTAGAGGTTGAGGTTCACTGCCTCGATCACATTCTTTTATCATCTCACGAGACCAAGTTCATTTCAAATGTACTCAGCACAACACAGTCTGGTGCCAGCTTGACACTACCCTTTGCCTTTTGCCTCCCATCCACAGCAAGCTGTGCCCTGAGCTGTATCATAGGTCCACCCAGCTCAGCCTCCATCACACAACACACGGCAAAGATGGGTTCGGTACACATCAATCAGAATTCAGTAGCGCCTCTGGGGGAGGGGCAGAAATGGCATATCAGTTGAGAACCAGTTTCCTGTTCTTGGAAAGGAGCCATCAGGCAAGAGTTGGAAAATAACTTGCAGTCTTTTCTGTCCCTGACTGCCTTATTCTACTTGCTCTTCTGGTCATCTCTGTTCGTGGTCGCCTTATCATTCCAGACACCATATTGTTAGGTCCTAGTTGTTAAGAATCTCATCATCCTCACATTCCCAAGGAAATACATCCCCCTTCCCAACCCATGTGTCTCCATCTTCCAGCACATCTAACTCGAACCATGATGTCATGACCTCACTGCCCAATGCTGCATTCCCCAGTTAAGCTCCTTCTCTTCTCTGGGTGGGTCTTTCTCTGAACTTTTGAAAGAGTGTAGCTCTGGGCAAAGTGATAGCTCTACTTTATTATGTAAGAGGCCAGTAGAGCAAGTTCGGGATCTTTGGAAAAACCTTAAGTTTAAAAATGACAATTCTCAAGTAAATAGTAATTTGATCAGCTTATTTTAGTTAACATGGCTTTTTTAGAACTTTCATCAAATTCTCAATAGAGAACATGAAGCATACTCAAGTATCATGGGTTTTTGTTTTGTTTTGGTTTCTTCTTTTTAATTTCGTGGGCTTTGACTTTTTTTTTTTTTTTTTTTACAGAATTTTTCTTTTTCACCCCGGCTGGGGTGTGGTTGGGATAATCTTGGCTCACTGCAACCTTTGTCTCCCGGGTTTTAGCGATTCTCCTGCCTCAGCCTCCTGAGTAGCTGGGATTACAGGTGCCCGCCACCATGCCTGGCTAATTTTTGTATTTTTAGTAGGGGGTTTCACCATGTTGGTTAGGCTGGTCTCAAACTCCTGACTTCGTGATCTGCCTGCCTCAGCCTGCCAAAATGCTGGGATTGCAGGCGTGAACCACCATGCCCAGCCGTGGGCTTTGATTTTTAAAGATAGAGCTGGTTTTTTTCCCCCAAAGAAAGAGCAGTGTGCTGTTGCCTCCACCTCCAAGTGACGTTTCAACTTGGAAACACATGAGGAAGAAATGAAAATTGTAATTATTTTTCAAAAATATAAAAGGAAAAGATGCAATTTTAAAATCAACTTTAAATTTAAAATTTTAATTACTATTATTTGATTATCTCTAATGTTGTTAAATATTTGCCATTAGAGCTTTACTGTCTGAAAAACTGTTGCACCATATTTTCTTAAAACTAGGTAAATTTTAATGGCCATTTATAAGACTATCATAGATTATATTCCCTGGAGAAGAAACCAAGAGGCCAGTGTGGAACTAACCCACATCGCCATGTATATACCCTTTTGGAATAGGTAAAATCCAATAGGATTTTTCTTTGGGGACTTGGCTTTGGTTTCAACCACAGGTAGTAAATGTTTAGTAGTTAGCGAGTTAATTTTTTTAATGGCTGAACATTAATTAATGGCTAATTATAAAAGCCAATACTTACATGGCACTTACTGGGTTGCATGTATAGGGTGCTGTTCTAAGTGCTATATATACATATATATGTTGTGTAATCCTCACAAAACCACCAAAAAGTGGATACTGTTGTTCACAGATGAGAAATCTGAGATCCAGAGAAATGAACTAACCCAATGTCACACAATTAATAGGTGCAAGAGCTGGGATTCACTCCCGTGGAGCTGGGCTCCATGGTCTTAAATACCGTCCTTTAGTCCCAGGATGATTTACTACAACTTCTCCCGCCCAAGGACGATCCTCCCTGCGTGATACGACGAATTTTCATGAAGGAGGATAGGCCGGGTGCTCTGGCTCATGCCTGTAATCCTAGCACTTGGGGAGGCTATGGCAGGCAGATTGCCTGAGCTCAGGAGTTCAAGACCAGCCAGAGCAACACAGTGAAACCCCATCTCTACTAAATTACAAAAAATTAGCCGGGAATGGCAGTGTGTTCTTGTAATCCCAGCTACTCGGGAGGCTGAGGCAGGAAAATTGCTTGAACCTGGAAGGCGGAGGTTGCAGTGAGCCGAGATCACGCTACTGCACTCCAGCCTGGGCAACAGAGCAAGACTTTGTCTCCAAAAAAAAAAAAAAAAAAAGAAAAGAGGATAGATGGAAATGGCTGAGAACATAAGAGGACAGAATGAAGACAAAAAGGTGGATGTGATTTATTTAAGATTTCTCAGCGTGGCGAGCAGGAAAAAATCCATTAGCACGTTCGTATTATACTTCTTGCCATTGTGCCTTCAGTTTACAACCGATAAAACACCGACTTCTAGCTGCCATTTCTAGACTCTTAAGGGTTACCACCTAAAAATAACATTAACTGAACCAGAGAAGGCTGTACTCACATTGCAGGCTCACTGTGCCGCAGGTAACAGGACGGTTTAACTGGCCAAGCTCTTCCTCTTCAGTGCACCAAAGGCTTGAGGTTTAATGAGTGGGTGGAGGAAGGATAAACATGGCTTAACACCCCAACCAATCAAGAGGTCTGTTGGCCAGCTCCTCCCTATCCACCTCAGCCTGGGGCAAGCCAAGAATTCCGGCCCTGGCTGGGGGTAATGGAGATGGATCGCTAAGATGGGCGGACACCTGCTGCTGATGCTGCTGACACAGGTGTTGGGCATCCTCGCCTGAGGCATTTTTTCCTCCCTTTCTGCTGGCTGGAAAGAAAGGGCTGACGTGCAGGGCCCTGCAGGAGTTGACTTAACCCACGACATTGAGCTGATTGTGTTGGGCAGTTTGTGGAAGAAATTCTGTCCCATATTAATTGATGCTCTTCTTGGGACCCAATTCCAGGAGTGTGACTTCCAGGACCCAATTACAATGACAATCTTAATTCTCATACTTAAAATTGGCCCACGTTTTCTTTTCTGAGAATAAAGAACCCATCTCATGTTCAGAAATGACCTAATGTTTCAGCCAAGCACAGTGGCTCACACTTGTATTTCCAGCATTTTGGGAGGCCGAGACAGGTGGGTCACCTAAGGTCAGGAGTTCAAGTCCAGCCTGGCCAACATGGTGAAACTCCGTCTCTACTAAAAATATAAAAATTAGCCAGGCGTGGTGGTGGTTGCCTGTAATCCCAGCTACTCGAGAGGCTGAGGCAGGAGAATCACTTGAACCTGGGAGGCGGAGGTTGCAGTGAGCCGAGATGGCACCACTGCACTCCAGCCTGGGCGCTGAGTGAAACTTTGTCTCAAAAAAAAAAAAAAAAGAAGAAGAAGAAAAGAAATGACCTAAAGTTTCATCTTTGACATTTTGGAATAATTTGCAAGGATTTCGATTAAATAGCAAAATCGAAAGAGAAAGGGGAGAACAATTGCCTGGTTGTGTCTTGTGTTCTTCCCACCCCTTTATCTGAGGGTGGTCTGTTTTCTGAAACTGTGCGAGAAACAAAAATTATTAGTTTGAAGGCTGTATCCAAACTCTAAATTTAAAAACATGATTCATCATCTTGGAGGATAATGATCTGTCCACCTGTAGATTTATACGGATTTCTTTACAGAAGACTGGCACGTAGAGGACTTTCTTAGAATTTAGTTTGTCTTACATCACACCCAATAATTCAGAGCTATTCAGAGTATTTTCCTGAGTCAGGAGCCTGTGAAATGAAAATGCCACAACTGTCAGGGAGAACGATGAGCAAGATCAATACAAATTGCAACAGTTGGTGGGGGGGAGGGTACTAAAGACATTTATTTAGCATTCTATGTCTGCAAAAGACCACATTTTCAGAAGACTTTCCAACACTGGACTACGAGTTCTCCAGCACTGTAGAACTTAGTTTTCCCCCTCACCGGCCGCCCCCCGGGGTCATGGAGGGGGGAACCTAGTGATTTGTTTGCTGCAGAACAGATAGCATAGTAAGTCATAGCAACACCAGGACCTAAAGCCATAAGTCTGTACTTAAATCACCTAGAAGACCAGGTTTCTGATATTTATATTGTTTTCATCCTTTCTTTGATAGGTGTAAGTGTAGCCAAGTATAAAGCTGTTCCATGCCTGGATAATTTTTATTGCATCTGCAAGGCTGTGTTGAGATATTCTGACACAGCAAGAATCATGATTTGTCCATGCATAGATTTAGACTGACTTCTTATAGAAGACGGACATGGAGGGGATTTTTAAAAAGATTAGGCTATCTCCAGTTGCATCCAACAATGCAGAGTATTGAAACTGAGGTCTGATTTAATCGGTGTCTGCCAACTATCTACATTTCCTTGTCATTGTCAAGTATATGATTAACATGAGGAACATTTTTTTTTCTAACCTATCTCGAAAGTAGTTCAACTAACAAACAATGCAAAGTTTAAAAGCACTGATTGTTTTTCTCCTGCTTTCATATGGAGCTTTTAACATGAGCTATTTATCGGTCATCAGATTACTTAAGGGTCAGAAATGCATTCTTTTCATAATGTTCTACAAAACACACTCATAGAAAAATGCATTCTTTCCTAACGTTCTATAAAACAGACTCATTAACTCTGCTGTTACTTCTAAGTTGCTACGCCCAGTCCATCTGAATCTCTCTGGTGAAAGGGCGCGTTGACCCTGGCAGAAGACTCTAAGATTATTGCTGGAGGGGGTCACTGCATTTGCCTCATTTCTGTTTTCTGTGCCTAACAAAGTTGACCACTGATACTTAGACATCTTTCATTTTTGGTAGAGTTCTGGTGAGGAGGATCCTCTAACTGAACCAAGGTCATCTACCAAGATATCTGCATTTAAGTGTGACTCCAAACTTCCAGCAATTGACCAAACATCAGTGAAGCAGAAACATAAAAGCACCATGACTGCAAGGAAAGCAGAGAAAGCGGGCCCCAGCAAACCCTCTCCAGGTGAGTGGCTGGCTTATTGAAATTCATAAGATTTAAAATCCTGGTATTAAAAATAACGACAACAGGCCAGGCACAGTGGCTCATGCCTGTAATCCTAGCACTTTGAGAGGCTAAGGCTGGCAGATCACTTGAGGTCAAGAGTTTGAGACCAGCCTGGCCAACATGGCAAAACCTCTGTCTCTACTGGGGAGGCTGAAGCAGGAGGATCGCTTGAACCCGGGAGGCAGAGGTTGCAGTGAGCCAAGATTGCACTACTACACTCCAGCCTGGGTGACAGAGCAAGACTCTGTCTCAAAAATAAACAAATTACATAAATATAACAACAATCAAATTGGGGGTGTTGATTAAACCTAGTGTTTTCCGAATGGCTAATTCAGGTTTTGAAAGGCCAGTGATCCTATGCAAACAGTAACATTAATTTCAGAGTAGAATATAAGATCGTGGAGGCATGAATCATGCAACGTAACTTCCTCCACTGCCCGCACTTCTGCCCCATCATTAGTGTAGCATCAGCCTTGAGTTGCTGCCTTTTCATCTTCTTCACCCTTCTTGGGGATAAAGCCATTTGGCCTCAGGTATCAAGTTTTATGGCTCAAATAAGAGCCTAAAGAGAAGCTTTCAAATACATCTGAATAGCATAATTTATAGCCGAGAGAGAAAGTAATAAAGTTCTCCTGTTCTGGGTTTGTCCTCTCCGAGAGAAAAGGTGCTTGATAAATCCTCCCTTTTGTGCAATTTGGAAAAATAGTCGCTCTTTAGCTGCCTTAGAGCAAAGACCAATCTTTTGCTTGGGGCAGGAGTGACTTAATAGTATCCACAAAGGGGCTAAAATTCACTGAAAATTGAACGTCTCTCGGGCTCATCGCCATCAAAGACAACAGGTATAAGACAAATTTGATTCGATACCTCCGGGAACTGAGGTTTAAGTTGGAGTAACTAGGCAGAAAGGTCTAAGTTGAATGGAAAGGATCCAGGCTAACTGCTGAAGAATTCATCAATAGCATGCAATTCATTAAAATCCAAATCACAGCTACTTTCCAATCCTAAATCGCTTCTGCCAGGCAACCACCGGTCCAGCTAAGTCTTCATGCCTTTTTAGAACATGGCAGCTTTCACTCAGATTCACCACCCACATTTTACTGCTTTAACGAAGTCAAAACCAAATTGACTTCTGAAGGGATGTCCTCTCAGGCAAAGCCTCAACTCTTGCATCTTATTTAATCTGGGGAGAAAGTATCATCACAGTTCATTTCTCATTTTAAAGGCTTTTAGTAGGAATTAGGCTTTTAACTCAGCTGTTTAAGGTTGAAATAGAGCAGGTTAGGTCGTTCCACCAATATTTCAAAATACAAGTAATGGCAAAATTTGAATTTGAATTTGAATTTAAGGGTTTTTTGTTTGTTTTGTTGTTTGTTTTTGTTGAGACAGAGTCTCGCTGTGTCGCCCAGGCTGGAGTGGAGTGGTGCTATCTCAGCCCACTGCAACCTCTGCCTCCCGGGTTCAGGTGATTTCCGGCTAATTTTTGTATTTTTAGTAAAGACAGCATTTCACCATGTCGGCCAGGCTGATCTCAAACTCCTAATCTCAAGGATTCGCCCGCCTCAGCCTCTCAAAGTGCTAGGATTACCTTGGCCTCCCAAAGTGCTAGGATTACAGGTGTGAGCCACCATGCCCAGGCTAAATTTAAGTTTAAATAATGGAACCCCATCTGTGCAATATAATTTTTAGCCCTCTTGCTAAAATCAGGTGGTTGTTTGCATATAGTATGCTTTCTCATGGTGGAGAAAAGTCATTAAAACGAACTGTTTAGATCCACTCAGTGCTTTAGTTTGTCTGATTAATACAGATGTTCAGGCCGGGCGCGGTGGCTCAAGCCTGTAATCCCAGCACTTTGGGAGGCCAAGGCGGGTGGATCACAAGGTCAAGAGATCGAGACCATCCTGGTCAACATGGTGAAACCCCGTCTCTACTAAAAATACAAAACATTAGCTGGGCATGGTGGTGCGTGCCTATAATCCCAGCTACTCAGGAGGCTGAGGCAGGAGAATTGCCAGAACCCAGGAGGCGGAGGTTGCGGTGAGCCGAGATCGCGCCATTGCACTCCAGCCTGGGTAACAAGAGTGAAACTCCGTCTCAAAAAAAAAAAAAAAAAAAAATACAGATGTTCAGCAAACTCTGTATGGAACTTACAGCACTAACAAAAAGGGGGAATTAATGCACTTAACAGTCTTTAAAACATCACATTTGAAGAATTACCAGGCTGAAAAACACCAGGTTTCAGTGACAGAGCCAAGTTGGCAGAAAGATATCTATTTCATCAAATGAGGGATGTTGCTTGTAGTAAAAGCCTCTACAAACCGCCTGCTTCATCACTGCGTTATGGCCCTAGACCACGTCCAAGACCCATGTGGCCATGAGCGGGGCTGTGGCCTGGCTGTCCCCAAGCAGAGCAGTCCTGGTGATGGATGGCAGTTGCTGCAGAGGCAGAATCAGTTGTGCAGCAATCTGGCTAAAAACAAAGCACTGATGTGTTAAGAACCATCCATTTTACGTGTGTAGACTCACCCTCCGGGCTCCCTAATTAGCATAGCGAAATGAGAACCGAGACATGGCAAGGATTTCAGCTGAGTCCGTTCGGGAACAGTTGAGCTCAGTGGCGGTCATGTTGCAGTTTTCTGCTGTTACAGAAAAATAGGGTTTGGTGCCCGAATTAGCTGGACACGTTCATCGAATTCACTAAATTCAGCTCCTTGCTTTCCTCACCTCTGTAGAGAGATATTTCTCTAAAGCATGTTGGGGGTAATACAAAGTTAGCAATAAGTCATCAAAACTTCTTCCATGTCAGACCTGAGATTCTGTATGAAATTGAAGCGCCAAACACGGTGAAATTCCTTTGCAACATCTGCCTAATAGGGTATACTTCCTACACTTCCTGTGTTATACCAGACTTTCACCGAATAAGATAATACAGCCAGGGAATATGGCTTGACTCACTGCAAATCTATGTAATGATAATCCACGTCATCAAAAAAGGGTTTTTCTTTGTATGTAATCTGCCATCTGGAACCTCCAAAACAACTATGTAAAATATAGCAACTATAAATGCCCTCTATAAACAGGCTTGTAACCAAGAAGGCATCTGATAGCTCTTCATCCTGTGAGAAGGAATTCACGCATTTAAATTAAGTTTCTATCATCCATGAAACTGCTTCTGGATGACTGACTTGTGATGTTCCTTGTTATCTGTCTCCATGCAGTGGGGCGTGCAGTTTATGGGCAAGTGTTTTGGAGTCAAAATGTTTGTATTTGCATCTGGGCGCCATTGATTTGCTGTCTACCTTTGGCCAAGTAATGCATCTCGGTCCCTCAGTTTCCTCACCTACACAATGGGGAGAAGGGCTAAAAACAGATCCTGCCTGCTGAGATTGCTGTGAGAACTCAATGATGAAACATACATGCAGCCTTTAGGACAGTCCCTGCTGCTGTGGCCACTCAATTAATTATCCCATTATGATTCCTAGCACATGAGAGCAGCAGGTTATAAGGAGAACGGACTAGAAAACTTTGTTTTCTTTGCCTTAAGGTTGTCCTCCCAAAACATCTTTTTTTCTGTACAAAAATCAGAGTTTCATTTTATTGATTGACTGATTGATTGATTGATTGATTACTGAGACGAGGTCTCACTGCATAGCCCAGGCTGGAGTGTACTGATACAATCAGGTCACTGCAACCTCAAACTCCTGGGCTCAAGTAATCCTCCTACCTCAGCCTCCTGAGTACCTAAGACCACAGGCACGCACCACTGCGCTCAGCTAATTTTTTTATTTTGTAGTGACGGGGTCTCACTATGTTGTCCAGGCAGGTCTCAAACTCCTAGGCTCAAGTGAGCCTCTGACCTCAGCCTCCCAAGTAGCTGTGACTACAGGCACATGCCACTATGCCTGGCTAATTTTTTTTACCTTTTATGAAGACGAGGTCTTGCTTTGTTGCTCAGGCTGGTCTTGAACTCCTGGGCTCAAGTGATCCTCCCACCTTGGCCTCCCAAAGTGCTGGGATTACAGACATGAGCCACAGCACCCAGCTCAGAGTTGTATTTTTTAGAATCTCTAACATAAATGCAGGTACAAATACTTTTAAACACTCTGAGTTTCAAAAGCAAAATGCCAAATGGAAAAAGATGAAGAATCAGACAGCATTCACCAAGCCAGAGATAGGCTTTATCTCCAGAAAGACGTGGAAAATTCCAGCAGTGAGTCAAGACCTGGCCGGGTCTCATGTGCAATCAACTCAGAAATCCCACATCACGAACACTGGTGTAGAGTGAGCTGTGAGCCTAGTAGAGTTACATGTTCTTAGTTACAAGTTCAGAATTGTAGACAGATCCTTGAGGCCCAGAAGAGCCAGCAGGCCCAGCGAGTAAGTGCAGAAGCACGGGGACATTTGGGGACCTGTGGTGGCCTCCAAGGCCTGCCTGCTCCCAAAACCTCTCCCAGCCCCATCCTGAGTTGGAGAGGAGCTGCCTCTCCTTTCCAGGACACAGAGGGGCATCCAAAGGCCACTGTGCTGTGGGGTTCTGGCGCCTGGAGTCCTAACGAGCTCCCTGCCCCAGCGCCAGACGTTTGGGAAGTGAGCATCCCCTCTCCCGCCCTCTGCTCTCACCTGGAGCCTGGGCATGGTCCCCCGAGTTATGTGCCAGGAAGACAGATCTGGATGGAGTCCTGCGAACCTGCTTCCAAAATCTTGCCCTTTAAAACAAGGCCGAGTGTTCTGAAATTATCCTCATTTATTATCGAGTGCATCATAAGTCACTGCTGGATTCAGTTTTGTGGGAGTAACAAGACTTTTCAGCCATAGAGTGGATTACTGGGAAGACAGGTTCTTGTAAAACTAAGAAAAAGCAATGCATTCAGATATTAAAAGACAAACATCCAAAATAACTATGGTCTCTTTTGGATTGGGAAATATTTATTTATTTATTTTTTATTTTTATTTTTTTGAGA